TTCTTGACAAAATGCTTTTCCATGTCAGACCCTTGACAACTGACAGAGAATTACTGACTTGAAATACCCAAATTATCATCTCAATTAAACCAAATCAAGCCCCATTCTATGATGATAATGCAGACTAAAAAGTTGTCATTGGGGTTTCTGTATGTTTCTATCTTTTGTATTTTATATGATTTAGGTGAAGTACTGACTGCCACTATTCAGGGTAACAGTGAAGATGTAGATTTAGCTGTTAAAGCAGCTAGAAAAGCTTTTCAATCATGGAGCACCTTATCTCCTCATGTAAGAGCTCGACACCTTTATAGGTAAAATCATACATTTTTTGATGGAATTCAAGTATATCTTAATTTTATTACTGCAGGTCTAGCATTTTTTGAGAGTATTTTCTTTTGAGGAAGACTGGGGAGAGAGTAGCAGGGTAACAAAAAAGCATGAAATATACAAGGATTTATCGCATTTGAAAATTATCTAATGTTTTGAAGAGATGGAAGCTGGGATCACAGAGTTGCTTCATGCATTCTATTATCCTAGTCTTCATTTTAACATAATGTACAGAAAACCTGAAATTGAACTATGAATCCATGCACCCATGTTGCCATTTTAGTATTGCAAGACATGTACAGAAACATCAAAGGTTGGTGAGTGTAATAGAGTCTATGGATAATGGTAAACCAATACGTGAAACTAGAGATGCTGATATACCACTGGTGGTACGCCATTTTTATCATCATGCTGGGTGGGCTCAACTAATGGAAACTGAAATGAGAGGGTGGAAACCAATCGGTTAGTCATTGATTATTACCACAAATCCTAGTCTGTAAATTTCACAAATGATTTAAATATTTAAGTGAAAGTAGATTGTCTATCTAAAAAAAAAAACCTTGCTGGATCAGTAAGCTGATATGAGCATGAAATCATCTTAGGGTTGGGGCGATACACTACTATCACTTTAAGACTGTTGATAATCGTGTTGACAAAAACATAATCATATATTCATATTGCTGAGGCTTCTTCATTTACTAAATGATGAGTTAACAATATTGATGATGTTTTCATAACTCCATTCTTATTTTTGAAGAAAATTGACAATATGACTTCATGGTAACAGTGCATTGGCAATACAAATACTGTGGATATTAAATATAACTGTAAAGCACTTTTAATGGTATACCACTCTAGTAACCATGTATGTGATTTTTTTTTTACTCTTTGTTTTACTTAATATTTTTAGAAACAATATCACTAATTGTAGGTGTTGTGGGTGCTATTGTTCCTTGGAATTTTCCACTGATGTTGTTAACCTGGAAGATATGTCCAGCATTAGCTATGGGTAATACAGTGGTATTAAAACCAGCTACCTATACCAGACTAACAGCTCTATTATTAGCTGAAATCTGTAGTGAAGCTGGTTTACCACCAGGTGTATTTAATGTAGTTACTGGTAATGGAGCATTTGGAGGTCAACTTGCAGCTCATCCTGATGTTGATAAAGTTGCCTTTACTGGCTCTACAGAGGTTTGTATGAACTCATTGGTATATTATTATGGAGCTTTCATAAAACTTTGCAATGTCTACTTCTGTCTCAGTAGAGGTTAAAGTGGACCTTGGTTTGAGCTGTTCTTGTTAAGTAACTAAATCTCAACTGTTTGAATTATTAAAATTGATGTATTAAAATTTGTTATTAGGTAGGACAGGTATTAAGGAGATCAACAGCTGGTACTGGTAAAAAATTATCATTAGAATTAGGAGGTAAATCACCAGTAGTAGTATTTGATACAGCTGATTTAGATAGTACTGTAGAGGGTATTGTAGATGCTGTATGGTTTAATCAAGGCCAGGTTAGTAAATATATTTTACCTTTCATTGTGTAATATTCGATCAATTTTAAATAAATAAGATCACTATTATGGATATTCGTTACTTTATTGAACATTTTGTTTTTCATTTTTCAGTTCAAATTTATTGCTTTATTTCACAATTAAATGATGTTGAATTGGTAATTTAAAGTTAGGTAGGGATTCTAGATATTTAAGTAATTAAATGTATTTTAGGTGTGTAGTGCAGGATCAAGACTACTGGTTCATGAGTCTGTACAAGAGAAATTAGTCAACAAATTAAAAGAAAGATTAACACATTTCCGTGTAGGTGATAGTTTAGATAAAACTATTGATTTGGGAGCTATTGTTGATGAATCACAAAGAAAAACTATAGCTGATTATGTTGATAGTGCTAGACAGGAAGGTGCTGAGGTATGTCATATTGTTTTTTTATTATAGGCCCACATCTCTCTATGTTGACGTATATTGTCGGCACCCCTGTCCGTCGGTCAGTCGGTCCGTCAGTCCATCAGTCAACATTTGCTTGTAAACGCTCTAAAAACTAGAGTTTTTGATGGAATCAAATGAAATTCGGTATGTGTAGACATATTCATAAAATGAAGATCAAGTTCGAATTTGAGCTATTTTCGACTGTTAGAAGCAGAGTTATTGCCCTTGCCCCAAAATCTTGAATATGCTATTACTCTCTTAGTTTTCAACCGATTTTGATGAAACTTAAAATTGATGTTATTGGACCTAAATCGAAAGGTTTAAGAAAGTTTAGTTTACTTCTGATTAAATTTAAAGCTTTTTCAAGATTTAGGCCTCTTACGTCTGTTTTGAGGAGTTATCGCCCTTTAACCTCTATACAGTAAATGCTTCTATCAACATCAATTGCTTGTAAACGCTCTGAAAACTAGATTTTTTGATGGAATCAAATGAAATTCGGTATGTGTAGACATATTCATAAAACGAAGATCAAGTTCGAATTTGAGCTATTTTCGACCGTAAGAAGCAGATTTATTGCCCTTGCCGCAAGATCTTTAATATTTACCATCCGCATGCCACGGTGGGCGTATATGGCTGTGGTCCACTATCTTTTGATAATATTATTATGTCTGTTTTTTTTTTTGGTATACTTGTACTATGAAACTTATATGGATTGCTCCGTAGATGCAGTTTTTTGCCTCCTTCTTTAGTTTTGATAGCCCATGTATGTAATTTGTATAACTTTTTAATACACTTATAATTAAGATGTTTCTTCAGTGTCTTTTTTATTTCTTATTATTTGGTCTTATAAGCCAGTATTAGTATACCATGTACTTTCTATTATCAGGTTTATCAAGCCAGTATTAGTATACCATGTACTTTCTATTATCAGGTTTATCAAGCTAGTATTAGTATACAATGTACTTTCTATTATCAGGTTTATCAAGCTAATAATAGTATACCATGTACTTTCTATTATCAGGTTTATCAAGCTAGTATTAGTATACCATGTACTTTCTATTATCAGGTTTATCAAGCCAATAATAGTATACCATGTACTTTCTATTATCAGGTTTATCAAGCTAGTATTAGTATACCATGTACTTTCTATTATCAGGTTTATCAAGCTAGTATTAGTATACCATGTACTTTCTATTATCAGGTTTATCAAGCTAGTATTAGTATACCATGTACTTTCTATTATCAGGTTTATCAAGCTAATAATAGTATACCATGTACTTTCTATTATCAGGTTTATCAAGCTAGTATTAGTATACCATGTACTTTCTATTATCAGGTTTATCAAGCCAGTATTAGTATACCATGTACTTTCTACTATCAGGTTTATCAAGCTAGTATTAGTATACCATGTACTTTCTATTATCAGGTTTATCAAGCCAGTATTAGTATACCATGTACTTTCTATTATCAGGTTTATCAAGCCAGTATAAGTATACCATGTACTTTCTATTATCAGGTTTATCAAGCCAGTATTAGTATACCATGTACTTTCTATTATCAGGTTTATCAAGCCAGTATTAGTATACCATGTACTTTCTATTATCAGGTTTATCAAGCTAGTATTAGTATACCATGTACTTTCTATTATCAGGTTTATCAAGCTAGTATTAGTATACCATGTACTTTCTATTATCAGGTTTATCAAGCCAGTATTAGTATACCATGTACTTTCTATTATCAGGTTTATCAAGCCAGTATTAGTATACCATGTACTTTCTATTATCAGGTTTATCAAGCCAGTATTAGTATACCATGTACTTTCTATTATCAGGTTTATCAAGCTAATATTAGTATACCATTTACTTTCTATTATCAGGTTTATCAAGCAAGTATTAGTATACCATGTACTTTCTATTATCAGGTTTATCAAGCTAGTATTAGTATACCATGTACTTTCTATTATCAGGTTTATCAAGCTAGTATTAATATACCATGTACTATCTATTATCAGGTTTATCAAGCTAGTATTAGTATACCATGTACTTTCTGTTATCAGGTTTATCAAGCAAATATTAGTATACCATGTACTTTCTATTATCAGGTTTATCAAGCAAGTATTAGTATACCATGTACTTTCTATTATCAGGTTTATCAAGCTAATATTAGTATACCATGTACTTTCTATTATCAGGTTTATTAAGCTAGTATTAGTATACCATGTACTTTCTATTATCAGGTTTATCAAGCTAATATTAGTATACCATGTACTTTCTATTATCAGGTTTATCAAGCTAGTATTAGTATACCATGTAGAGGCTGTTTTTATCCACCAACTTTAATAACTGGTGTACAGACAGTTTCTAGAGTTGTTGTTGAAGAGGTAATTTCTGTCTTTACTGTTATATTTCAATAAAAATATTTTTTTTAAATGACATTAGTCTGAACTGAATGTTCTTTGATGGCAATAATTTGCCACTTTGTTAATTTTATTAAGATGTGAAGTGAAGATTTTACATTTTTAAAAAAATGTGTAAACTTCATTTCAATTTTGTGTTAATAGATATTTGGACCAGTATTAGTAGTGTTACCATTTAGAACAGCTAAAGAAGCTATAAGTCTAGCTAATAATACAGTGTATGGATTAGCTGGTAGTGTATGGACAGAGAATATTAGTCTAGCTATGGAAGTAGCTATAAATATTAAAGCTGGTGCTGTATGGATTAATAGTCACAATGTATTTGATGCTGCTGCAGGTTTTGGTGGATATAAACAATCAGGATATGGAAGAGATGGCGGTAAAGAGGTATGTCTGCTTCAAATTTAAACTTCAAGACCTTAGTTCTTGAACACAAATCTTCAACACTTTTTATGGGAGTTTTATCTAAATAAATTTGGTGTGCTAATTTTTGTAACTTTACAAAGTTGTGTCCGATCAAGACAGATATTTTATCAGTCCCTGTTAAATTATGGTTTATTATTGAGTGTATTAAAAGATTGTGGTATATATAGATATATGACTATTTGATAGGGTTTATATGAATATGTGAGACCTACATGGGAAGATAGAGCAAGGCTTGATGCTATTACTGATGATGTCATAAAAACATTTGGATCAACTCTACCTCCTAGACCAGCTGTATCTGATAGTTCTACAAGTGATGTTGATACACCAAGGTATTTATATTAATTCTGAATTCTGTCTCCTGATATAATTTTTACTGCTTTAGACTGTCCTTAAGTCTTTCTCAATATATATTGTAACAATATTAAGAGTAAGATAGGAATAAATAAATAATAGTGTGTTTAGTATATTAACATTGATAAACCAAGACTATTGTCACTTAGTTACTTATATTGTATTCAACACTATTGTTTTTTGATGTTTTATTTCAGTGTTGATAGAACATATAAGTTATATTATGGTGGAGCACAGAAACGTCCAGATGGACAGTATTCTAGACCTATTTCTAATCCCCAGGGTAAAGTTGTAGGTATTGTGGGTGAAAGTAATAGAAAAGATGTTAGGAATGCTGTAGAGGCTGCTCATAAAGCTGCTCCTGGGTAAATCTTTTGTTCTAATTTTAGAAAATTAAAAGGTTATCTCTTAAGAATATAGATCATTACAAAGTTTGGTTCTGATTGTGAATTTTTAATGTTACCAATATCTCATAAATTTCCAAGATTTAGTTGAAAAAAGCATGGTGTTTACTGTGTATATATATTACAGGTGGGGTAAAAGAGCAGCTCACAACAGAGCACAGATAGTTTATTATATGGCTGAGAATTTAGAAGTAAGAAGAGATGAAATTAGTAAACGTATATCTAGTATGACAGGTAAAGATCTAGAACAGTCTTATAAAGAAGTGGATGATTCTATACAACGATTATTTCATTGGGGTGCTTATTGTGATAAATATGGTGGCACTGTACAGGTAAGACATATATATAATTGTAAGAGATGTAAAATCTCATAGCCTTGTAGAATA